TATGAGGCCATTATAAAATTATCAGCAATTGTACACCCATGACATTTGGAAGAAATGGCGTTTGACGATATAAGTCAACTCATAGTGAAAAACATACCCACCACACATACAAAATACAGCTAGTGAATGCAGGGAGAGCTAAATTCATGAATATTTCACAAAGAGTGAATAAACCAGTTACTGAATATGTTCATCTTTTAAAACAGGTCGCTAAATATTGTGAATTCGAGAAAGTTGGAGTGGAAAAACAATCGAAGAGGATTTGATCCAGATGAAACGGCATTAAAAATGAGAAGTATCGGCCAATGACTCTAATGTATTTACAAATGGGAAAGTTGTCACTAGAATAGTCTGTTGAATTTGTTCAGCAACATGAATTATTTGGACCATTTAATCGAACAAATGTTACGATATGGTAGAGAAAATGGAAGACATACGCGATAAAGATTCTTTCTAGATTGTTTGTTGCTAAGCACAAAACCACATACTGGAAGATCGAAAAGCCCGTCAGTCCGCATAGACAGGCAAATTAGAGATCCACTGACCATGTCTTATGCTACCAACGAAAAACGGGGGTATAAAAAGAATAGTGAAACTAATCTACAAGAGGCCAATTTCATAATGCAAATTCTGGAGAATCTCAAAAACATTTTTTCATATATATATATATATATATATATATATATATATATATATATATATATATATAATGAGGAAATGAGAAATAAATGTATAGTGAGCCTGAAAGTAATGAAAGCAAAAGTGTCAAGTCAAGGTAAGACAATCTAGGCAGTGAAATCGAGATCAGTATAGACTATGAAAATGTACAATAGTTGGAGGAATATTACTATGAAAAAAAGGAAAAAGATCACGATCTCCCATATCTAAACAACCTTTTAGGGAAAGGGAGAAAGATAGGGAGGATACAAAAGCTCCCAGAAGAAGTACCAAAGAAAATAAGATGATAAAACCTCTTCTCTGTAGGGAGATGTGAAGACGCATTTACATAGGACACCATAAAGACGATACATAGCTAAGGCTATAACACATGAGCAGTTGAGTGCGTATTACTTCCCGTGTGTCAGTAACACTACACTACACCCAGCCTGCAAAATATAATTTCATCAGATTTAAACTGCGACAGGCAGAGTTACAACAAATTAAAAAAAAATGAAGCGAATTTTATTGTGGAAAAAAGCACGTATTTTCAGACGGACCTTTTAAATGCTTTTGATATTTCAAGATGTAATAAACGGCAAACTGTCGCCTTCAAAATCGTATACAGAGACAGAAGATTAGTTTTATCGTCTCAGAAAGCTCAACATTTTTCTCTAGATCGATAATATTTTAATCGTTTCCACCAAGCAAGGGGTGTCCTGGGTAAGACGATCAATTACATCCGCGTCCTCGATAAGACGGTAAACTACATCCAACAGCAAAGCCCCTGATCAGGAGGTTTTGAAGGGCTTGAAACCACCTTTTAATAGATGGTGTTCCCATGACCAACCGGACCTGGGGTGGTAGTACCTGTTAGGGTCCCAGCTATGAGCAAATGATTGGCCCCCAAACTGAGATCAAAAACTATGAAAGTGTAAAAATAGGTTTTAATACCAGAAATACATTTTTTGTAAACAAATTATTACCAGCCATAAATATTTAAAGGAAAAATTATTACCAACCATACATTGTTAACAGCAATACATTTTTGGATAAAATATTACCAGTCATACATTTTTGAAGAAAAATATTACCAGTCATACATCTTTGAAGAAAAAATATTACCAGCAATAAATTTTGAAGGTAAATACTTACCAGCAATACATTTTTGAAAAAGGAAATATTACCAGAAATGCATTTTGAAGGAAAAAATATTACCAGCAATACATGTTGTAAGAAAAAATGTTACCAACAATACATTTTGTAAGAAAAAAATTACCAGCAATACATTTTGTAAGAAAAAAATATTACCAGCAATACATTTTGTAAGAAAAAATATTACCAGCAATACATGGTGTAAGAAAAAATATTACCAACAATATATCTTGTAAGAAAATCAAATTACCAGTAATACATTTTGTAAGAAAAAAATATTACCAACAATACATTTTGTAAGAAAAAATATTACCAGCAATACATTTTGTAAGAAAAAAATATTACCAGCAATACATGCTGTAAGAAAAAAATATTACCAACAATATATTTTGTAAGAAAAAATATTACCAACAATACATTTTTGGAGAATAAACATTACCAGCAATGCATTTTGAAGGAAACATATTACCAGCAATATAATTTTGAAGAAAAAAGCTGTACCAGAAATGCATTTTTTGAAAAAAAAAATATTACTAGCAATAAAAACATTGTCGGCATTAAGCAACCCACTAAGGTTGATATGCCATAAAACACACCACACCAAACTAAGGAAGGCGACAATGCTACGAGGACACAACGGGTTACAGGGAAAGAAAGAGCGTAAGAAGACTTTAGTGAGGAGACGGGAACCAAAAGCCAATAACGGATGAAGTTTTAGAAAAACAGGCGACTGATGTTGCATCTAATTCTTTGAAGATTTTAGATGACTGGGAAGCAAGAAATCGACAGGGAGATCTACAGGCGAGACGTGCGAGAAAAGGAAATATTAAATGCTTCCTCATCTACGTCATTACGTTGGAAATGTGTATAAATTGATTTCTTTCGTAATAGCATAATATTCTTGTTCTATATGCGTGGAATTGCAGAACTTGGGTAATCATGGACCTCTACAGTTACACTAGTAATTTAGAAACAACAATACATAGACAAAACGCAAGAAAAATATAGTCAATTATATTGTAACTGTAGAAATAAGAATAGATGTCCATTAGATCGAGTTTATAAAAAAGAAACAATAATCTATAAAGCGGAAGTAAAAGATATTGACCAAATTGATACCTACATAGAATGTACTGAAGGTACTTTCAAACGTTGATGGTACAATCATAGGTCGTCATTTAAGCTAGTAAATCTAAGGTACCCTACCAAACTAGTTGACCATGTGTGGAATTTAAAAGAAAAAAAACAAACAGCAGGAACGTCGTGCGTTTGTTAATTTATTTTTAAAAAATAATATAGCGTTCATTATTTTAAAATAAAAATAAATCGTTAAGAGATGATTTGATAAAAAAATCGCCTGAGGATATCGTAAGTTTGAAACCAAGGTAACAGATTCAACTGACCTCCTGATTTTTAAAGTTAAAATCTCTCCATGTTATTTTTAATTCAATTTAATTTTTTCACACGTGTATTGAGCACTTTTTAATACCACTGTTTACTGTTCTGATTCCACCATTAACCTCTTTTATATATATATATATATATATATATATATATATATATATATATATATATATATATATATATATTTAAGTAAATGCTCTGTTTATAATAAACAGTATTAACGACATTTATCGTCCTGAATGTCTGAGAAGTCTGAAAGAAAATATGTATCCTCCGACAGGAATGGAATCTGTATCCTACATGGAACCGCCATACAGTCTGACGTGCAACCACATTTAGCTACAGAGGAAGCGTCTGGTTAGCAAGGTTAAATTACTGTTTTTAAACTACTACAAACTTCCATTGATTTCTCTCGAACGCTCATATCTACTCGAATCATATCTTACCGCAAACAAATAACACAATATAATATGAAATGGAATAAGTTCGACAATTATTTTATTACATTTTTGTTTATACTTTATTTTTATAGATATAAAAATTTAAGTATATGGTCTGTTTATAATTAACAGTATTATAAAGTATTATATAAACATTTATACTACGATAAACAGTTTTAAATATAACGTATATACAAAAAATATATTAAAATAAATGACGGACTTAGTCCATTTCATAATATATATATATATATATATATATATATATATATATATATATGTGTGTGTGTGTGTGTGTGTGTGTGTGTGTGTGTGTGTGTGTGGTAAATCACACCACACCAAACTAAGCAAGGCGTCAATGCCACGAGGACATAACAGATTACAGGGAAGGAAAGAGAATAACAAGACTTTAGTGAAGCGACGTGAAGCAAAGGACAATAATAGAAGAGGTTTTAGAAAAACAGGCGCGAATATATATATATATATATATATATATATATATATATATATACTCCTGAAAAATGTATTTCGGTTGAGCTCTCTGGGGAGAAAGTGTGGGTTTTTAAACAGTGACTATTACGGCTAATAATGCAAGACACTTCGTTTAATCGAATCGAGTTCTGTCAGTCACTGTGAGTTTATCTAAAAATAAATACGCTTAAATTCACCTTCATCACTGCCGTGCGCCAATTCAGTCGGGTTTCAATTCTAGCTAGAGGCAACCGGACGTCTAGCCCCAATGATGAGCTGTGATACAGCGAAACTGTCTGTGGATGACTATGTATATATATATATATATATATATATATATATATATATATATATAAGGCATGCAGACACATACATGCATATATATATATATATATATATATATATATATATATATATATATAGATATATAGATAGATAGAGATTGAGAGAGAGAGGGAGTAAGAAAAAAGAGGAATATATAGGAAATACAAAGGAATAATAACAAAGATAAATAGAAAAATAAAATTTACAGAGCATGAAATGCATATATATATATATATATATATATATATATATATATATTGAACGATAAAAAATTAAAAAATCTTCAGACACACTGGGTTGTAGTTTAATATTCTTTCGTTTTTTTTTTATTATTATTATTTCATTTAGATTCCTCAAGTAGTTCCGGCCCAAAAATGGCCATCATCGGGAGGTGAAATATTTCTGCTTGCTGGTAGCAGTAAACATATTATATATAAATATATATATATATATATATATATATATATATATATATAGAGAGAGAGAGAGAGAGAGAGAGAGAGAAAGAGAGTGAGTGAAGAAATCAGAGACAGTAGGTTTGTGGATTTGTTACAAGGACTGAGACAAAGAAAGCAAGTAGATATGAAATCTCGTGAAAGCAAAAGAAAGGAGGCAATGGTGAAAAGAGAAGAAACTTAATTAAACACAATGATGTCCGAATAAAAAAAGCTAGTGACAAACAGAAATAGAGGGAAAGAAAAAGAATTAAATAGAGAGAGAGAGAGAGAGAGAGAGAGAGAGAGAGAGAGAGAGAAGAAAATAACATAGCAGAAAGAAGAGACTGGTGGACGGAAAGTGAGAGTGCCATAAACAAAAGAAAAGAAAGAAGAGTTCAAGATCAGGGAAAGCGAATTAAAAAGAAATGAAAATATGTATTGACGAAAAAAGGAGAGATGAAAGGCAAAGAAAACCAGACGAGAAACATTTTTAAAGATAATGAGCAGGAGCGAAAGAGAGAGAAAAAAATTAAAATGAAATAAAGCGAGAAAAGCCAGACCAAAAGAGGAGGAGGACTAAACAATCAAAATAGAAGATAGATAAAGGGAAAATAGAAGAAGAAAAAAACAGAATGAGAGAAACGAAAAGAACTAGCTAGAAGAAAAGTTGGAGAGATTCAAGAACGGTAAAGTAAGTCAATGGGAGGAAGAGAGAAGAAAATTAACGATACAGAGAGAGTGAAATGAGAAGAGCGATAGAGTCGGGTTTGTGACAAGGACTGAAACAAAGAGAGAAGATATGAAAACCTCTTATATTTAATGATATCCATTTAAGAATGTCTGTAAACGAACTTCAGTCAAGTATTGTTGCCTTTTTCTTAAGTAAATCCACATATCTTATGTTATTAAATAAACAGTCTTATTCATTTAAATAGATTAATTGATTGGTATTTTAATTGATAAATGTGAGAAAATAGCTTTTTAAAATGATTAAGCTTCAATCGGAATTGTCAAAGCTGACAATCTAGAAGAACAATGATACAGATTTAAATGGACCATTAAAGCTAATGCTAAACATATTAACAATGGAAAGAAGTAAGGACAATGATAAAATATTCACCTTCATATAAATCAAGATGGCAGCCAACTATCATTGGGTGTTTGCAAAAGTCTTTTGCTCCCCTGTTTAGGAAAGTCGAACAATTACGAATAACTGTTGAAACTGCTCAGTAAAAATACCATATTTGGGAAGGAAATTAGAATAACTCAGATAATCGTCTGTTGGGGCCACCCACCTTTTTATCAGAATGGACTGATATCTCTACTACTAACAGGACAGTTCCATAGAGTTCTGGGAGATCAGGTGACCATCACACGTCCGTCTCGCTACCGGAAGATACAGTTGGACTTTATACTCTTTCTGATTGTTACTGACTAACCTGCGTTCGTTTGACTACTAATCTCTCTGTTGTAAATACCTCTTCAGATATACCAGTATTTTTCCCTATGTATGTCTTTGTCCTTATTTCAATACACGCACGGGGAAACACTCAACATCTCAACATCGTCCTTGCTTTGAATACTGCCTTCACATCTGCTCTAGAGCTCCCGATATAAATGTAAAATTTCTTGATACAATCCAAAAAAGAATCTGCAATGTTATTGGTCCCAACTTGGCATCTCGTTTTCAGTCATTAAGTTTTCAGAGACACTTGAGGTATTACAGTGACTGTAGTAAGAATGGTAAATAAGAATGTGTTGTGTTGGTGCAAGGAATACTGTAGCATGTTTGCGTCTGTAATTCTGACTAGCTAAGATTAATATAAGACAGATTGAAGACCAGCCTTACCTTATCCCCACTTTTAGACTTGTGTCATATCATTGTATTTTCAAAACAAAAATTACTTTCTTTTATGCTATCTAGGCTTTAAGAATTTAAGCGCAGTACTTGATTGGCGGCAAGGTCCCATCATTTCAGAGTTAAAATGGCTAGATGTAATAGTAAGTTTAATGCTAACAGTTTCTTCTATTGCACTTCCAGCTTATTGAACTCTCTTTCGGCTTCTTGCTTACCAGTTAACTTTGATCTTAACAAATGTAAATACAGTGCCAATCATTATTTTGTGCATTTTATTATTATTTTAATATTTTCTTTCCTTAATAAAGTTTCTTTCTCATATTCTCTAACACTCAGTAACCACTTGCGCCTTTCTGGCTTTATTGCCTTGCTTGGGGTGAAATGATTAAAAGCCTATACTGGGAGTAAATCGCCTGCATGCGGATAGAAAATCATTTCAGTGAATATACGAAAATAGAAAGAGGGGTTAACAAGGGTGTGTCTTCTCATCTGACTTATTCTACCTATACAGAGAGTCGATTCTTAGAGCAACCTAACAACATAAGATATGCTAAGGGCGTAGTGTTGATAGCAGGCACAGAAAGGAAACGGCACGAACTCCTACAGAAGGTAGTGACATAAAGTAAGAAAAAGAACTAAATATCAATTGGAAGAAATCATGCTGGTTGTCTACAGACGGAACAACCCAACATGCAAATTTCAAATTCGAGATACTAAAATCAATAAGTTCAAAAGAGAGGACGGATAGTGTGACACCGAAATGTGAATATACTCTGGGATAGTGAATGTTGCCTTCCAAAAGCTCAGTAAAGTATTAAGGAACAGGAAAATTTCATTAGAAATAAAGTTATGTCTGTTTTTCTATATAGCAGTAAATGTTTCTCAGTCTCGTTACTGATATATAGCATCCTGCTTTCAATGCCAAAATCTGTGCAAAAAATTGGATCATAGGGCCTTGATATTGTTCTCATTTCTCATTGGTCAGTCAATATGTAAATCATGTTCTCAACTACGTCCGAATAACATCGACTTAGTTACTGACCTGACCTGACGAAAAAAAAAATTCCGCCAAAATCTCTCTGTGCCTTTCGCAGCCTATCACGAGATTAAGTTTATTATAAATACTGTGACACAAATTGTTTCTTCCTCTTTTTGATTTCTCTCGCTTACTAAAATCACGTTCCGACCTTTTTCAGACGAACGCTATGAAAATGTAAAGGACCGATTAGTTTACAAGTTGTTGAGTCCAACCAAAGATGTAAAAAAACAAACAAGACCGATATATATATATATATATATATATATATATATATATATATATATATATATATATATATATACGTCAACAAATATATGTAAAAAAAAAAATTACAATTGACAAAGACATTAACATTTATGTTTTGTGTGAACGTAAAGAGTTTGTATTTTGGAGAATGTTCGTACGTACGTGTATGTGTGTATAATGTTCACGGCGTCTCCCACAAATGGGAAGACGCTATCTTCTGCGAGAGCTTACATTGTAAATGTGTTCTCTGAAATGAAGAAATGAAAAAAAAAAACATATTTACACACGCAAACTTGCACGCACGTACGTAAACTTAATTACAAACATTACGGAAGATTACAGAACATTACTATCAACAAAAACTTAATTATATTCACTCCTTCAACTCTTCTGAAGCTAAAGGTTTATCAACATATTCTCAGCTTTCCAGAATTCTTTCAACTCTCTGTGAACATTTTGATCATTCAACTATGAGCTCAGATAAAAAAAAAAATGTCCTTATTAAAGACTTTTATTCCAGTCATAGGGAAGTAACTCCTATTAATTATGCTTGTATATCATTGACATACATAAACATGAATATTGTTTGTTATTGTAAAAACGGTTTTTGCGTTCATTCTTATTGTTTCATATTTTATCGTATTTTGCTTAAATAAAAATTCCAGGGGTTGCATCAACATACAGATCCCTAGAGATGGACCTTGGAACAACAATGATTAAGAGGTGCTTTCACCTTCCCGAAAACCACCAGATCTAAGGCCTTGCTGCCAGATATAGTTTATCGTCATACGCAACACGGTTTTTTCGTTCATTGTTATGTCCTTTTTTTTTTCAAACTTATTTTTCTCTCTTTTTTTCCATCATATTTTGCTTTGTTTTTGCTATTTCCCAGACGCTGTTTGTCCCCCGCTTTACTCAACAACCAATTTTTGTATTGTTTGCTCTTTTCCTAAATGACTTACTTTTCTTTTTTGCTTTATATGTTATTTACGTAAATTGTTTGTCTTACAGTTTAATCATTATTAAGTATGTCAACTTGCGAGACAGCCGGTGACCCTTTCTGTTGTCAACTGTCCGGAGTTTGAAATGAAAGTAGATCAACATACGATTTAGTTGCTTTTTATGTTATTCTCGTAATGTGTTTTTTTTTCTTTTTCGTTCTTTGTTTGTTTGGCGGCATATCAACATATTATGGGTCATATAATACCAAAATTTAATTTTATTGGGAGCATTAGTAATTTCATTTAAAAAATGTATTGCTGGTAATTTTATTTCTAAAGAAAGTAGATTACAAGTAATTATTTCACCATAAAAATGTATTTTAATACTTTCATTGTGTTTTAACCCAGGTTTCGGGGTCAACTATTTGCCTATCACTGGGACACTAACAAATGCTACCCCACCGGGTTAGGGTGAACCTGGTAACATTAGCGAGTAAAAAGTGCTTTCACGTTCCTGAAAAACTTTAGATCTGAGGCTTTGCTGCCGGACGTAGTTTATCGTCATACCTAGGACAGTTTGTCGTTCTTTATTATGTCGTATTTTTCGAGTTTATTTTTCAATTTTTTTTCCATGACATTTTGCTTTGGTTTTGTTATTTCTCAGATGCTGTTTGTTCCCCGTTTAATCAACAACATATTTTTTTTGTATCGTTTTCTAGTTTCCTAAATGACATTTTTTGGCTTCTCTTTTTTATTATTAGTTTTTGTTGTTGTTGTTGTTGTTGTTTTATTTTTTAACTACGGTGTTTGTCTTACAGTTTAATTCAGTATGTCATCTTGCGAGACAGCCGGTGACTCCTTTCTGTTGTCACCTGTTCGGAGTTTGAAATGAAAGTAGATGAACATACCACGGCAATGGGATAGCGCCACCTAAGATGCGACACCAAAAACCGAAGCTATATTAAGATAGCAAAAGTTGTCTTCCAAAAGCTAAGTAAAGTATTGAGAAACGGGAAAATTTCGTTAGAAATAAAGAAAAGAGGGCTGAACTGTCGTGTAATATCAATATTCCTATATGGCAATGAATGTTAGACAATTTCCTTACGCATGACAAAACGACTTGAAGCAACAGAAACATGATTCTACTGAAGGATGCTGAGAATACCATAGACTGAACATTTCAGCAATGCCGAAATTTTAGAGAAAACCGAAACAAATAGTGCACTTACCGTTAACATCAGAAAGAGACAGTTGATCATTCACGAGCATATATTGAGGAAAGAGTGTCTGTAAAATTTGATAGTCACATAGAGATAGGGTGCGAAAGATCTCTTCCAGCAGCAAATCAAGAAATAGGAAAGTAACACTGAAAATAAAGAAACATTCCTGACCGCTATATAAGATAAAACGATGAGGGCGATAAAAGAATTAACAGAGAGAAGAGATAAAAACGATAAGAAATAAGGGAGATAAGGGAAATAAGAGAGATATAAGATATAACAGAGAGATATACGATATAAGGGAGCTAAATATCCCTTTCAGAAGCAAAGCAAGAAATAGGAAAATGACGTTGAAGAAAAATTCCTGATCTGCAATATTATATAAGTTGTAATTTATTTATTTTAACTGTAAATACAATCTAAATTTATAATTATTTTAAAGTTGCATTTTTTTCTTTAATTTATTGTTTTATTTATTTTATTTCTTTTACTAACAGAAATTATCAGCTGGGGAGATGAAACTTGAAAAAAAAATAAAGTAAAAATTAAAAAAAAAAAAAAAAACCTCGGAAAACACATAATTACCTTCCGAGTATCCGATGAGTATCCACATAAAAAAGAAAAAGTAATATTCTCTGTAAACAACTTAAATAGAGCTCCTACCATTGGCTGTTGGTCAACTTCCAATCAAATGCGTGACAGAGGGGTATGGTTTGCCTAATATAAGTCAGTGTCTGCAGGCTGATAATTTAGATTGGGGTGGGGGGCGGCATCAGAGACTGATCAGCTCTAATGAGGTCGACTTGGTGAGGGGAGTATGATGTTTGAAAGAACCGAAACTGCCCAATGAATCAATTCAGAACTTCACTGACGACGCCCTCTAGCGCTAAAGTACGTATATTCAAAGTATAAGATACAATAGAGCGATAAGGGAGATAAAAGAGTTACGAGATAAGAGAGTTAAGAGATATGAGAGATAAGAAATATTAGAGACAAAAGATAAGCTATAAAAGCTATAAAAGAGATAAGAGATATACGTTATAAGAGAGCTAAAGATCCCTTTCAGAAGCAAAGCAAGAAATAAGAAAATAACACTGAAAATAAAGAAAAAAAATCCTGACTGCTATATAAGATAAAAGTGATGAGGCAGATAAAAGAATTAACAGAGAGAAGAGATAAAACGATGAGAAATAAAGAGATAAGGGAAATAAGAGAGATAAGAGATATAAGATATAACAGAGAGATATACGTTATAAGAGAGCTAAAGATCCCTTTCAGAAGCAAAGCAAGAAATAGGAAAATAACACTGAAAATAAAGAAAAAAAATCCTGACTGCTATATAAGATAAAAGCGATGAGGCAGATAAAAGAATTAACAGAGAGAAGAGATAAAAACGATGAGAAATAAGAGAGATAAGGGAAATAAGAGAGATAAGAGATATAAGATATAACAGAGAGATATACGTTATAAGAGAGCTAAAGATCCCTTTCAGAAGCAAAGCAAGAAATAGGAAAATGACGTTGAAAAAAAAAAAACTTCTGATCTGCTATATTATATAGGATACAATAGCGCGATAAGCGATAAGGAAGATAAAAGAGTTAAGAGATAAGAAAGATAAGAGATAACAGATTTTAGAGATAGGAGAGATAAGAGATATGAGAAATAAACGAGTCAAGAGATAGGAGAGATAAGAGAGATAAGCTATAAAAGAGATTAGAGATAAGCTATAAAAGAGATTAGAGATAAGAGAGATAAGCTATAAAAGAGATTAGAGATAAGAGAGATAAGCTATAAAAGAGATTAGAGATAAGATAGATAAAAGATATAAGGAAGCGAAAGATCTTCCAGAAACAAAGCAAGAAATAGGTAAATTATGTTTAAAATGAAGAAAAATTCCACACTTGCTATATAATATATAATTCATTGTACTGCACTGAATACCGTAATATCACCTCATGGATATATCAGAAATTTAAAGGGACATACGCCTCATTCTACCGATGAAACTTGGATATATCTCTAAGAATCGAAGTGATTTTTCTCGTCGGATTAATCGTCCATGTTATTTTCTGTATTCTCTGCTGAAATTAAAAATTCGAGTCGTGTCACAAGAGAGACTCGTTGAATAAGATAAATCCAAATGTTTTTTTTTTTTTTTTTTGTAGAGCAATGGTAGGTATCTATCTAGGGTGCCTATATAAACGACTAGAATTTCGGCGAAAAGTTCTGAATGTTTTGTCAAATCCCTTCGGACATACTTTTTTTTTCCTCACAATTGTGCTTCTGTCTTTGGACAGACGACAAAATATAAGTGAGAGATGTCCTGTGGCATCAGCTCCATCACTGCATCAAAGAGTTTGGGTCGGTGGAATTTCGACGCCAGCGCGACTGTGGTTGCGGGGACTGGACAAGTTTTGGCCTTATTCCAGGTGCACGCGATTGTAATCCCCACTTTGACCCGGTTTTCTGCCACATCAAACCACCGTGGGGGTCGGGGGTCCGCGAGTAAATAACACATTTCTGAATGCCATTTGTGCGACTATTGATGTGTTATCGCCAGCTTAGCGACTATTAGTTTTGACTGAGCACGAACTCTTCCATTTACTTTTGAACGAGTGTTGAGGTTTATCGATTGTTTCTTGTTTAGGACTGGGTTTCCGGTTCCTTCTAAAGTCTACATCAACTCTATACTCCAGCCTCCCCCCGCCTAAACCCTGAGTGCGTGTACCTGTTAAATATATGAAACGATTTGGAAAAATATTTTCATTGTAATGTCTCGTCAGTGAAAAGCAATAATTTTATTTTAAAAGAACATAATCTGGGATAAGTTTAGTTTGGGTAAAAATCACTCACTTCCGGAAGTAAAAAAAAATCATTTCCGGAAGAAAAATTGCAAATGGTAAAAATAGATGATACTAAATGACTCTTGTAGGAACATTATTATTATTATTATAAATAAATAAAAATGGAATATAATAATAATAATAATAATAATAATAATGAATATTACAAATAAAATAAAACACTAACAAGAAAAAGTTGTATAAAATAAATTAAATAAATATAAAAATAAATTCTCCCAGCATGCAAAAGAAACTTTTCCTGTCGGAAATACGGACATCCCACCAAAAGCCATTGAATTCAATTTCTTCGTTAACAATTTTCAGACACTCAGCACGTGTCCAACTTATCTCTCTCTCTCTCTTTCTCTCTCTCTCTCTCTTTTCTCTGTGTGTGACATGGCGTGTAATAATACGGAGTGACTTCTCCTTTTTATCACATGCAATCATAAAATATCTGAAACTAAAAATACACGTACCAGTACACAAAAAATGAATAAATTGTATGATATGAATGTACAATATACTATCTTTTCACTGTTATCCCTTTGTTTTATTTCTGAGATGTATTTTTTTGTGAACACTAAGTTATTACTTTTGCTATGACGTAAGTTTAGCAGCCCACTAAAATAATGACGCTAACTAAGACAATGAGCGTCATGCAAGGATTATAACATCTATGTGAAAAATATTTTAAAAAAAGACACAGAAGAATTAAATATTATTAAAACAAAGACATTATAAATTCATTAAAACTACTATCTAAAAAAATAATTATCAGTTTCATCTATCTATATTTATGAGATGCGGTATTGTAATTATTTACATTTTTAGGATTACTGTCCTAAACTTTGTTGCCATATACACGACGTTTCTGTCATTGTACGCTCCGGGCTTCTTCAAGTGATTGTAATTTTGAACTGAACCCTTTATTTCGTCCGCCGGGGTAGATTGTTCTCGGTCCAAGTGCCATGCCTCTTCCGGATGTGACACTATTTGGCTTGCTAAAAAAGAAAGATGAAAAAAAGAAAGGCGAGAATTAAATTTAGGTGATAAGAAGCCATCACGAAAAGGACACTAAGCGGTGTTATTTTTCTGACAAGGAAAAGTGGTAAGATTTTTATTTCCATTGTCGAGAAAGTAAAACACAGAATTAATCTGATTTATGTTACGGGGCGGCGAGTAAGGCAATGATAAAAAAAAAAATTTTCAAGTTGGATAAGCTACCTCCCGCAGAATTCTAAAGAGATAAAAATAAAAATTAATTAATCACGCACTGTCCGAGAAAAGCAAAAGGGTCCGCTGACCACCATGAAGGAAAGGTTAAGCCTTTGTCTATATGTAGAATATATTTGAGAGGAGCATTTGTTTATCGTCAGGTCCGGCTATGATAACGAAACTATTTTATCGGATCAGTAATTGGCACCAAGAATGCAAATACGTCTAATTGACCACCAACTTGTTTGGCGAAGGCCCCGGGTGATAAAGTACAAGTGACATTTGCCTAAGATAAGAGACCAAGTGTTCGTTGTCGGGCAGAACGAAAGAAAGAGAAAGAAAAGAAAAAGAAAAAAAAGATAATTGTTTCTTCTTTGAGCAAGATTTTTTAAATCGAGGCTAGTCTGGCCGCACCCACGCCGCTGAGCGCCCATTGGCTGAATGGTGGCATGGGCGTTAGGCGGAGGTAATCATGTGAATAAGGAGGGGAGGCCTGTTGCGCCCCCTGAAGGGAGAGGTGTGAGATGCCACTGTGAGAGAGAGGGGAAACCCGTTGACACCCTCTGAGGGCATGGTGAGATACCAATATGAGAACAGAAGAAGGTGGGAAAACGAAATACTTCCAAAAATGGAAAATAATAAAATTTTCCTGACCGAAAACAAAGAAGTGGATTGTGGGTTTGAAGTTATCAAGGAAGCCCACCCCAGTTTTGGTCGGCGTCCATATAAGCAGAGTCGCAGCGAGTGAAAAGCAGTTCAGTTCAGTTGGAGTTGGAGTTGGCAATTGGCAGAGAGTGTTACAGAGTTAATAGCCTCGCAGATAGCTGACTTGAAAGATTCCAGGCACCACGACTTCAACTTCTAGCCAAGAACAATTTATTTTTGAAGAACGACTTAGACTCACACCACCAAAACAAGTTTTACGAATATCACCTGAAGATACACCAAGAACCAGTTTCTTAAAGAACAAACAACTTAAGATGTTAAGACTCGTCTAACAAACACAAAGTGTCACGAATCCATATAGCGGGTTGGGAAGAAGACGTAGTCCTGTATTCAGCAACCATATATAAAATATTTTTATCCTTTTTTTAACACATTTGAACTTTTCGAGTTATTATTTTATTTTCTTTTACATATACTTGTGCGTTATCACCCTTGTTCGAACTCGACTTGCATTACGGCCCGGCGACTGATTGATTCCGTCTGCCTAAGATCAATTCACAACGTGGGTAGGTTAGACTGGAAGTCAAAGCAGTTACTTCGGTAACCAGACGTTAGAGGCGAGCTGGGAACGACAAGGCTGATACCGAATCTAACCAGATTCCCATCCGAAATGTTAGAACGTCACATTTGGTGCCGCGACCAATATCAAGCCAGTTGGTCGTCACAGGGCAGAATAGCACGACGGATGCAGCCAGGCAGACGTCACATTTGGCGCAGCGACACCGACGGGGGACGTCACAGAATGTCTCAGTTTTCTCCCTTTAGCCCTACTTTTAAAGTTTTTGTTGACCACTGTAAGAGCCAAGTATTTAACTCACAACTCTTTGGGTCAAGTTACTGGATCCAGCCAACGCTTTTATCCACATGGCCATGTATTTTGACGAAGGCCGGAGCGTACAATAAAGATGCAGACAAGAGTCCGAACTATGATAATAATGCATCAGTTACATCTTCAAAGAAAAATGTTTCTTTTATTATGATTTGCCGTAGTTACGATAGCAGGAGTTGAAATAGTTAAGATATTTTGCCATCTGCATCAAATAATGTTGTAAGATAAGTTTATTAACGTCTGATAGATCGACACTCAATTTCTCATTCGCAAATTGATTATTTATTCATTTCAAGACGCCATGTCTTAATAGCGTCCTGGGTATAACGAGCAACAACATCGGGCAGCAAGGCCTCGGGTCTGTAGGTTTTGAGAAGCGTGTAACCACCTTTTATTTACTGTTATTCCCAGGTCCACTCTGATCCGGGTTGGTATCACCTGTTAGGGTCCCAGCTATGGGTAAATAGTTAATTCCCTCAGTCTGGATAGAACACATTATAAAATTGTAAAATTAATTTTTAATAGTAAAAATACCTGTAATACATTTTTGAAAAAAAATTATGACCAGCAATACATTTTTTAAAAATAAATTACCAACAAAACATTTGATTCCCGACAGATGCCATCTTTCAAATATACGTCAATGAAAGATTATTTACAAAATGATTTATTACAAATACATATTCTATTCATACGAACCTATCCTCAAAATCTTGTCGGCATTAAATAACACATTGAGCTTGATATGCCGTAAATCAGAATAAACCAATCCAATTAATTCTTAAGTTAAAATAACCAGCTAACAATTAGGCCACTGGAAACCATAATAATGTTGTAAGGTTCAATTCTCTAAAGAAAAGCACGTCTGTTGGGACACCTCGACGTCTTTATCTGCTAGCTTTAACTTTGTAACCGAAAACTATTGTTTTATAAATATATTAAGTATTTTGTACACGTTTTAAATCACCTTTTCTGTTGTTAAAGATATTATATTTAATGCGAAATGTTTACTTGTGTAGGATCTCAATAAATCTGATAATACGCTGATGACACAGCTATTAACTCATGGCTTAGTACGTAGATACTCC